AGAGTATGTTCCCAGCTTCAACCCCATCGCACTGAAGGACTCAGCTTTGTCCACTCACAAGCCTATCGAGGTCAAGGGTCCTGGTGGGAAGGCTACTATCATCCATGCCCAGTACAACACTCCTATTAGTATGTACTCTCAGGATGCCATTATGGATGCCATTGCTGGTCAGGCCCAAGCCAGAGGAAACGAGATGAGGTAGGTCTTCCATTCCTGTCCAGCACTTCACTTTTTACTACACTGATGCTTAGGTGAGAGCTGAGGTAAGTGATGCAGTGGCCCCAAAATGGACATTTACGCCACACTACATGACTGTCATTGCATTAGAAACAGTATTATATTTCAATATTTAATGCAGTGATGTTTTTAAGGAATAAGTTCACTCAAAATGTAAATTCTGTTATTATTTGCTTACTCTAACTCCAAATTCTTTTTTTCTCAGAATTTTGAGTTTATATCATGCAAATCTGAGTTCATATCTTACAATTCTAAAAAAAGAGACAGAATTGTGAGATGAAAAGTCACAAACTTTGACATTTTTTCCTGTGGCAGACACAAGCCTCCATACTGCTCTTTTCAGTACAATGAAAGTGAAGGAAAACTTGGAAATCATGAAAAGTACAGTAACTCACATGCTACATCTTATAAATAGTTTTGCATGTATAGTGATGTTCAATACAGTAACAAATAATTCTATTGAGTTTCATCCTTTAAATGAATTGATTGATCCAGTACCAAAAAGTGGTCTGGGATGCATTTCCCAAAAGCATTGTGAGCATAAGTAGATTGTAGTAATCATTAATGCCAGTGGTTTCTACAGTCTACTTAAACTTTGCTTTTGAGAAGCACAGCCCTGAGCAATATATTCATGAATTAGATTGATCTACCTCACTAACTTAACGATCTGGTTGCCACGGTTTAACACTCCGCTTGATCTAAATGTTATGAGAAAATAACAGAATTTTTGAGTGAACTATTCATCTAAGTGTCTAAATACTTTTTAGGACCACTGTATGTAGCAATGTTAAGTACACAGTGATGACGTATTTTAGTTGGCCAACCCATTAGCATCACCCTAGTTCCCTCAACAAAAAATACAATGCAGTAAAAATACAATACAAGACCAGTAAAAGTTTGGAAAAATCATAAGAGGGTATTACTGATGTATTGAAGTGTTGTAGAATAAAATGTGAAAATATGTTGAGCTTATGTTAACCACAGGCTTTATAAAAAAACAAACAAGCATTGAAATAAGGAGGATGGAACCTGAAAAACTAAAATGCTAACTCATTTCTGGGTTTAGGCCTGTAAAAACAATTTTTTTACTTACCCTGCAGCACTTTATTAAAAATATGAAAGTGTATTCTTGCAATTTGTTATGAGATGTTGGGGAAAAGTAAGGTATTCCTTTACTGCATATTTTTGTGTGCAGTTTAATGTTTTTGATTACAATGCAATTCCACTCAGTTTGCAGTGTTTATAACAGTAAGATCTCATTATCGGTCATCTAGCCTGGGCTGATTTCAGGCTTCCACAAGGTCATATGTATCAACCTCATCTGTGCTTTTCCTCCCTCTTCTGCTTGCAATTATGTCACTCCATCCACAACCAATCACCCATTCCTCATCACTCATCCTCGCCTCACCCCTACTACATTTCCCATCCTTCCATGTGACACGGCTCTGACTTGCTCCCTCCCATCCTGGTTCATCATGTGATTGACAGTGGTGATGACGCCGCTGGATCTCCCTTGGCGTAAGTAGCCACAGTCTATTTAGATCCATCACAGCCGCATTGACTCATGTCTCATGTTATATTCTCTGTTAAAGGCTGATTGCATAAACACTGAAGTGGATTTTTTTGGTAATTTTTCAATTACCATGTTATACTGTTGGAAATATGTAAGTAAATGGAGTTCTATAAAGAAAAATATGAATGTTCTGAGTATATCTGCCAGGGGAGAATTACATAACCTCTAACATTTTGCTTTACATTCTCCTAATATAGGAACTCAGTTTTATCAAATCCTAACTCATTCTTTCATCACAGATCTCTCACTACAATGGAACTGTAGTAAAATTATGCACATCTTCACAAATATGTGAATTAATTCAGAGATAACTTCAACAAATATTGAACTTTTATTATGATTTTTGTCAATTTAACTTGATGTTCCCAAATTCAGAGAACTCGGATGAACAACTGATCATCTTTTTCCCCTTTCTCTCTGTTGGGGAGCAGCTCACTTCCCATTAAAGACCCTCTTGTGGACAGTGCTTCTCCAGTCTACCAGGCTGTGATTAAACCTGACAATAAGGAGATGGAGATGTCAGAGTGGGCCCGTCGTGCCGCCAACCTGCAGTCCAAGTCCTTCCGTGTCCTTGCTCATATCACAGGAACGGAGTATTGTGAGTACAGCCTTTCTTTATCACACCACTGTGTGAAATGGAAGTTGGTTTGAATTGAACATGTTTTAGACATGCTGACATAAGATGACAGTGATTGCGTGATAAACATTGGTTTGTACTTTATTTTTTGAGACCTGGCCTGTAACAATTGACTTGTGTTTATTTTATATTTATCACAGTGCAAGATCCAGATGAGGAGGCTCTTAGAAAATCAAGGTACTCCACGTTGTCTGAGTTTTTTCTGTCTTCAACCTTGTGAAAAAGTACACTTTAGCATACTTTTAAAAAGAGAACTCATGAGGAAATGCTATACTTTAAAAGAAAAGTGCAAACTGAGTGTAATGTTTTTGGACACTTAACTGCATGATATTTACATTAAAATAAAAATGCATTATATTTAAAATTTATATTAAATGCAGTTATATGAACTTTACAGTGTTTTTGACCCACTAAAGTAGAACATCTTTACATGTATTTTCATAATTACTTCTAATGGTACAAGTGTACTTTTGAACACTAACAAGTATTTATGGCAAACTAAAATATTCTTTAATTTATTGTCTATTGAAATTTGTATGTATTTAAATATATTTGTTATAATGGAGTTGCAATTTAGTACATTTAAAATGTATTAACTTTAAATGTAATATTGAAGTTAAAAATTATAATTAAGTACTTTACATGTGTTTTAGTATGTTAGTCAGCACATCAATATAAGTGAACTTCTTTAAAGCACAACAAAATATTACTAAAACATAACGCTTTCAATGTAAAACTTTTAATTAGATTTTATTACAAAGTGTACTTAAAGGGTTAGTTCACCCAAAAATGAAAATTAGGCTGCGTTTTACTCACCCCCGAGGCATCCTAGGTGTATATGACTTTCTTCTTTCAGACGAATCCAGTCGGAGTTATATTAAAAATGGTCTTTGATCTTTCAAGCTCTATCATTGTAGTCACTGGATGTTGCATTGCTTCAGTCCAAAAGAAGTTAAATAAAAAGCGTCTATGCATTAAAAAAAGTGTCTCACACGGCTCCGGGGGGTGAACAAAGGCCTCCTGTAGCGAATCAATGCGTTTTTGTAAGAAAAATATCCATATTCAAAACGTAATAATCACTTAAATCCTGTAAGTGAACACACAAAGCTCCTGTGTTTGATGTTCATATGTCTTTTTGTTTCATGTAACTTTCAGCCACTAAAACATAGTGCATAGTGCTCAGTTTGTCATTTTCGTTTTCATTTTATGTTTCTCTTCTTCTTCTCTTTTGGCTGCTCTGTTTATCCTAAATTATTTCTGAATAATAAATTGCCTGAATGATTTACTGATGTAAAGAACCCTGAGAGAAATGATCAAATATATGTACCACATCCACTGCAATCCACCACAGCACATATTAAAAAACAAACCAAATGTACTATTGTTAATGTGAATAAAACATTACTTTTACCCTAATAAATAAAAGTGTCAGTGTGACTTGTTATGTACTCTTTTATTCCAAACCACTATGACTTACTTTCTTCTATGGGACAGGAAAAAAGATTACTTTAACAGAATGTTCTGACTGCTGTTTTCCATACAATAAAAGTGAATGGGCTCCAAGAAATACAAAAAGCGACATAAAGGCCATTATTTCAAGTTTTTTGATACAGCTCATCAGTGATCAGTCACACAAGAAACAAAGACCTCTGATATTACTGCATTTCATTTCTTAATTTCTCTATTGGATCAACTATTTTGAGTGTTATTTTGAGAGTTCTTTAATATGGCAACTAATAAATTCCTATACGTAGAAAAATTTAGCCACATTTAAATTTGAATGCTGAGAAGGTTGGGGTCAGTAATATTTCAGAAAAACATATTTTTAAGAATTTAATACTTTAAAAAAGGATGCATATTTTTTCAAATAAATGCTCCTCTTTTGCAGATGACTTGAAAAAAAAAAGACCAGTTTACACAAAATGTTAAGCATCACAACTGTTTTCAACATTGATAGAAAAGTTTCTTGAGCACCAAATCAGCATATTAAAATGATTTCTTACAGATCATGTGACACTAAAGACTGGAGTAATGGCTGCTGAAAATTCGGGTTATCGTCACAAAAATAAATTACATTTTAAAATATATTAAAAGTTTACTGTATTTTTGATCAAATAAATGCAGCATGGGTAAGAATTGGATACTTCTTTTAAAACATACAAAAAAAAACTTACCAACTCCAAACTTTTGAACGGAAGTGTATTCTTTAAAATTTCATAGTTTCTATAAATTCATACCATATGTAGATTCTGGCAATATTCCTATTGACCCAGCCAGTTTCTGCAACACTAATACTGACCTGTAGATGGTATTAAAATTCAGAGTGATAAGTCGTTCACTCTTAGCTCATCTTTCATAGTTCTTCACACATGTATGTGTACGTTCACTAATAGCCTATATAAAAACGGACACCTATTTTATGTGTATTTATATATTTATTAATCGCTTGTAGGGTAGTCTTCATTATTAATGTAAAAGCTAAACTACTACTATAGTCTTCCTCATATTGACAGCAGATGGCACCCGCGGCTCTCAGTTTTGGATGACCCCCTCCCAGTCATCCATCCTCTCCCTCTCTAGCGCGTCTCTCCTGCTTGTTTTTCACCGCTCGAGTCTGCGTGTAGAACGCTCGCGCTCGGCCGCGCTGCTGTGATTGGAGGACTGAATCAGGGCTCATCGCGTTACACGCACGAGAGGATTGTTCTCACACACAGAGGCACAACTAGAAAAGAAAAGAACGAGAGAAACCGGAGAAAACGTCCTCGAAAGCAGGAGAAAATCACCTAAAACCTCACCACAGAAAGTCTCTAGAATTCACGCTTTGAAGTAGACCTTCGTCACGAGTCATAAGTCCTAATTTGGAAGGATTTTGAGTTGTTTGAGCGGCTTCATCAAATAGGTAACGTTAAGTGGGAATTCCGGATATTTGCGTGATGATTTTCTATCCGGTAGTAGAGGGGGAAAGTTTGTTTCTCGTGTCATGGTTTCGTTTTGCAAAAATTGACGCGTTAGATGAACCAGACAATTAATACGATACCTAACAAAGGTATTTATTATCTACAGTGTTTTTTTACACGCTTCTTTTCACCCTTGTCTGCTATTTTCTTATTCCAGCCCTTTTTTCCACGTTATATTCTCTTTTTATACAACAGCCGTGTCCTCATTAAAGTAAGTTACTCCATTTTGTCTACGTTGCCCAATATTGCTTATTATATTTTTGTGTGGGGTTGCTTTGATAACATCTGTGTTTGGGTTTTGTTGTCAAGTCTCAACATGCATCGTGAAAAAACACGTTGACTACCTGCTTGTGTTGTGTAGCTTGGATTGGCCTTTCTTTGTCAGTAGTTGAATTAAAACAAATTGTCCTTGATTATTGACATGTTGTCTTTGTATTAACTTTGCTAAATGTTTATTGTAATTGGCAGATTACTCACTGTTTTCTTTGACTGAATGTTGAGTTGTTTACATTCAGACTGTGAGTTTTTGTATGATCTCTTTTGCATGAATTACTACTACAAACTTAAAAATAAATAAATAAATGTATGCCATATTTTACATTAGAGATTGACAGATGCGTAAAGATTATTTTTATGGTGAAGTGTCCAATAACCCATTTTCCCTCTCCAGAACTATGGGTTTAATGCTTGTTGACACAATCATAACTAAAATGACCACAGCAATTAAAAAATGATATTCATTGTAATTCTATTGACAATGCTAGCAAATAATATTACTATTGCCATTATTGCTATTTATGCTATTTATTTCTGCAAACATTTAATAATTTTGTTTTGTTTTGTCCATGTTTGGGGCTCTACTTTTAATCAGTTACTTTACCTTTGAATGCTGTTGTAATGTATTAATTAATTAATGTAATTAATTATGCCATTAATCAATAGACTATATATTAAAAAAATTATAACTGACTGAATTGAAAACTTTGAATATTCAAAGCTGATAACTGATCAGGATGACTTATTTGTTGCAATTTTGCCTTACTTGTTGAGTATTTTTAAATAAACCATTTTGTAAGTCTGCTTGGATTGTTACCACAATTCAGTAAATTGATCTATGACATTTAGCCTATGTCTGTTTTTTTTTTTTTTGCTAAGTTGTTTAGAGGGGACGTTTAGAATATCTTTTTTTTTTGGCCCTGACCCTCCACAACACCCAGAGAATGAACAGACTCATGATTAGTCTCAGGGGCAATTAAACACAGAGACGGAGATAAATCTCCTACGAGGAGCGAGGCAGTTCTATCCATATATCTTAATTTACCGTGGTATTGGTCTTTCAGATTTGTGGAGGGAGAAAAAGAGCAGAAAGCTCCAAATGAAAAACAGAGAAGCTTAGAGAGGCCTGTGCTTGCTCTTGACTCTTATGAGAAGCCCTCTCTTTTTTTTAGTGGCTGTGTTCGGAAACACAAATAGACCTAATGCCTACAGTTTATTTTCCCTCTCTCAATGTCGTCATGAATACGAATAGTTGTTCAAGTAAACACAGGGTACTTCTAGCTACTTAATATCCTGAAACTCCTTGATTGTGGAGATAGCCTTGTGAACAGATTTGAGATCAAGTGTGAATAATGTTAATTGAAGGCAGACCATTTTCTAAATGGGGTCTTTTTATGCATGCCTGCAATGGGCTGTGGAGATTCCTGTTGCACGCATTGCTCTAACAACCACATGTAGTCTCATGTAACATTGTGTGAAAACCATTGCGTGTCACCTTTGAAACAATAGCTATTTCAAGTCAGCGTTGTCTGAATAAAGATATGTGTATTAGCATTTATCAACTGAATTCATAGCAAGAGGTCAGTTTATAGGTTGAATCTTGTTTTTACCTTTATTACTTTTACATTTTGTGAAGTACAGTGCACTGCAAAAAAAATTTTTTTTTACAAGAAAATTTTACTTTTCAGAAATGTATATATATATTTTAATATATAGCTTAAAGCCTATCCTTTTTGTACATTTTTGAATATCTTGAAATTGTTTTTCATATCCCATTGTTCTGGATTCAAACAAAAACACTTGTAATTTTAGATTTTTGCTCAAATATATATAGTAAATATATTTTTTTCTCCAGTGTGTTAGGTAAGATAACTTTCTTTACTTGTGTAATTGCATACATTAACTGCGTATGATTATTCAGTGCATAGATGGTTTAAATACAGATACCCTGAAGCATGTTTATAAGGTCAGCCCTGCTCACAGGAATTCACATTCACAGTCTGCGTCAGATTGATTTGCCCTGTGCCTGCTCTTTCTCATGAATCGCTGGCACCAGTTTGTTGTCATTTGCATCATGTTTTGTAATCTGCTGCCAATTTTGTTAGTGCAAGATGTGGGCTCAACAACACTGATGACCCCAGCAGCACCCCTCCCACCTCCCACACATTACGTGAAACCTTCCGCAATCTGAATTGCTCCTGCAGCCATGGGCCAGAAAAAGGCCTGTGCTCTGCTTGCAACTAAAATAGAAGGCCAGGAGTGGGAGGGGAAGAGAGAACCAAATCTAATTTTCTCCCTAAGAGCCAGGCTTTCTTTATTTATCTATCGTTATGGCTGTATTTAAGGAGAAATGGTGGCCCGCTTCCTCCATGCATGACTCGTTCTTTATTTTTCAGCCTGTGGGCCTTCGTTTGGGCCTAGAAGAGCCTCTCCTTGGAAAGGGGGGAGGAGAGAAAACCAGAATGAAAGGGAGGGAGAATGGAAAGGGGGGAGAGAGAAAAAGAGTCAGGTTTCGTTCCCTGTGCACTCTAAGCTGAATCAGACAAGAAAGAAATATCACTTCAACTCAGACGTTACTTTTAAGCCACTTTTAATTTTACATGCTGTCATTTATTTAAAGGGATAGTTCACCCCCCCCCCTTCTGTGAAAAAAAATAATGACGATATACTGAAGAAGAGGAATTAATAAAGGTTTTGAAACCCATCATGAGGGGGACTAAATGATGACAGAGTTGTCATTTTTGGGTGAACTATCCCTATAAGACTAATTTTAAGAGTAGGCAGAGTAGGCTGTTCAGTTGTTACTAATTCACATTGGCTGTAATAAGATGCAGTAATAAAAAAAACAGAGAAAGGCTAGTTTCATGGTCTTGAATGGCAGCTGAAATTGAGTCTGGGGAGATTTGATCATTTTCTGCAGTAACAGTCAGCCTGTTTATTTCCCTTTTTTTGCATGGAAAGGAATGCCAAGCCTGTAAATGTCCTGTTTGCTGTTGGCAAGTGAAGAATGATTCTTTTGAGAAGCTTAGAAATAGGACGAAAATTGCTTGAGGTTGAAATAACCAAAAAAATCTTGTTTACTACTGAGAAGTGAAGCACATCTTTATGCATGCAGGATGAGCTTGTCATAATTTAGCGTATGCCTTTTAGAAAATAATGCACCAAAAACACTCGTTGTATTTGGAAACCGCAACTAAATTGGCCCTTGTTAAGCCCTTACACCCTCATGTCGATGTAGAGCTTTATGTAATACCTTTTTGCATGTCGCTCCCTTTATTGGTCTCTGTATAGGAGATGCCATGTCTGTCAGGAGCGTTTTGTTGAAGGGTGCAGTTGTGACCACACAGGACAACAGAACAGAATTGGTTGTGGTTAACTGAGCGTGCAAAGTATAAACGTGTTCATTATTTGCCGTGCTGAGACCTCCCAATCTTTAGCTCTATACTTCTGTTCCTTTATACCAATCACTTATTTCTAAGGCCTGCCACTATGACCCCATGTTGGCGCTTTTATAGATCTTCCCATAATTGTAAGGTTTATTTAAAAAGCATTACATGCTCTTCTTCACGTAGTGTTTTGATTGTTAAGTATTGGATATTTTCACTCTGATTTGCATGGGTAGTTATATTTGAAATTTTATTATGGAAAGAGCTTCCCAAACCATACTGTCTGCATTTTTGCAGCGTATTATGTCAGGTCTGAGATGTGTTTGGCATCTGCACAGAACCACACGACTATAAAGAGGGGCATTTCCAGAGTCTGACTCTCTCTGTCTGAACTTTGCTTGTGCTCATAGCACTGCTGAACCTGAACAAAACCCTTAATAAAAAGCATTCATTAGTACTGAGCACTCTAGCAAGTCCAGCTAACACAGTCAAAGAAAACAGGATTTCATTTTTACATGTATAAAGGTGAAATGCATATAGAACCTCAGGGCTTGAAAATGAGGATGCCCCTGTGGGTAAGGGTCAGTGTGTGAGTGTCTTGGAACAGTTGGGGAACCATATGCTATGCTGTAATACCTTCATTATTAATTTGTTTCTATTATTCTCAAATGTTTTTGTCAAATGTTAACTCTTTCCCCGCCAGCATTTTTTTAAAAAGTTGCCAGCCCACCGCCAGCGATTTTGATGATTTTCACTAAGATTTGATGGCCTCCAGTATATTTTGCTGTATGAATATTTGAATATGCAATACACCAAGCCTCTACTTTTAAACAAAAAAAATCAGTTTTATTCTAGCTTAAAGCATTCTTTTTTTATCAACACTTGAATATAGGTAGGTTTCATAAAAAATGCATTATTTTGAGCAAAAAGGTGAGAAAATCAAATTTTTATCAAAAACTACATCTGGATAATATTCAGTACGATTATCAAAGCATAAATCCAGTAAATCGCTTCCATCAATACCTCCAAAGCTTGCACAGACATATACCACTTCCTAGATCAACATTTTACTCCGTAACATTATGCAGTTTTCATTTATATGCTGTCTATTGCTGATGATCGCATTATTTGTCATATGCATCTGTTTACATAAGAGATCGCTAGTCCAATGCGATAACATTAACTAGTATTTTCGGGAAAAATATTTTTTTTTCAGAGCAAAAAGGACCTGAACACCACATGAGGGTTAAATAAATGTTCAATTTTGTTTTAAATATCTAAACAAGGTCTTATTGAAATCCTTAAATGTGTAAATTATTAATATTTTCTTGTAAAATTATTTTATATGAATTTGTATTTCATTTATATATATTTGTTTTTTATATTTTTAATTATGTAAAAATTCTAAATTATATATATTTATATGCACAAATGTTACATAATACATGTTTTTCTGACACATGTTGCTAAAAAAAGTAATTTAGAGTAAAATAAATAGTAATAAAATAATAATCATATTCATAGAGAAAGTGATAGTATTACAAATCCTTATTGTTGAGCTCTAGACCTTGATTAATAGCTGAAAAACTAATAGCCGAACTAAACCTGCTAATTAGAAATGAAACTTGCATTTTTATGTTTTTCATTCAGCTTCTCGGCTTCTTTGTTATGCAGTGTTGTTTTAAAATATGACTAAGTTTGATAAGCAGATTGGAGGAGATAAGGCTCGCCGAATACAGCACCATGAACTATAGTCTACATATTGTGTTTTCTGTTTCTGGGCCATAACCTAAATGAATGGAGAATGGCTGGTTGTAATTGAATGACTTCCTCCATAATAGGTCTCTGCTTTGTAGAGGAAATGAGTAAGAGTTCCTAAATGGTGAATATGAACAGATGTGTTACATGGTGGTCATCATCACTCAGCTATTGTAAGCCCAGGGCTAATTATTGCCTTTCTCCTTTATACTTCGCCAGTCGCACCTCTTAATGGACTGTTTTACTTTAGTGTTTCAGCGCAAAAGAAGACATCTGGTTGTTTTTGACTGATAAAAAAACACTGAATATGGTATAAATATCTGACCAATTTAAACAACTTTTTCTAGCCTTATTCTCGTTGATGGTTGATTTTAAATTATGCATGAAGCCTGTGGCTTTGACGGTAAACAAGTTTGCTGTCATCTCAAAAAGATCCTGACAGAAAAATTCAGCTGTTGCCTTCCCACGGAGCTGAATCGTGACTAAATGCTCTCTCCAAGCTTGTAAAATATCACAAACATTAAGGAATATCATAACCACAGTGTAAAAAGAATGAGTGGGTGCTTTGTAGCTCTTTGCAGGCACAGTTGAGCCCTCCCTCAAGGCATCTGTGTTCCCATCCTCAGCGCCTCAGTGAACCACGCTAACCTTCTAATTTCATGGGCTTTAATTTCAATTAGCTATGGCTGATCGTTCGCTTTGATCACATTAGTCTCCCCTTCGAGCCCCAATTGCTTTATATACACCCTCGTGCTTTCCTGTTGGTTTTACTAAACCCTCTGGAATTAACAGCAGTGATGGCATCTTCATATGTTTGATTTCCACTTCCTACAGCTGTCCCTCATCTTTCAGTACATAGTTTCTCTCAGTACTCCAACAAAAGACAATGTCACAAATCATTGGACATACTTCTGGTCAAGAGTTTTGAAGTGGAGATGAGCAAAAGCCACTTTAATTTAAAACGGCTAAGTTCTTTACTATAGTTAAATGGACTTATTTGATGAGGGCTATTGAAAAAATCACCCCTAAATCTACAGATTTGGGAAGAAGTCAACATTCCTTGGGAAATAAGTTGTAATCCTCTTTCTCAGCGAGGGCAGTCGGGGTCAACTCCTCCTGGCACCTGTGTGGATCTAAATGTCTCAGGTTTGGTGACACTCTGTCTGAGGAGTGTTTCTGCCATGCATTGGACACTAATCCACAAGTAGCCTCAGTTCAGTTTAATACTAGGAGAACAGCATTATGAATCTCCTGTGTGAACTAATCAGTGTTGTGTGAATGTGTGCAAATTTGTCAAAGTTTTCCCATAAACTTTCTTGACAACAATTTTCTTAATTAGTTTCTCATTTCCATTCAAGCTTCTGGGTGTTTTGGTTTCAGATTGTTGAGTTTGAAGCTCCCATATTGTAGCGTATCATAATGTATCAAACCTTGCTTGCAAATATCTCAGTTTCAGTTTTCAAACAGAACTCAAAACATGGAAGTGTAAACACAAAAGTAATCTGAGGCTGCAGCGAGTGGTTTTTGTGAGCAGCCAGGCAGTTTCAGCTTTATTAGCAGTTTGAAGGTAACTTTCAAAACTTTGTCATCATTAACAAACTACCTATCTCTCTGCTTAAACCCTGCCACTCCACAAAAGCCTTCAAGCTTGCATTTATTTTTGACTGAAACACCCACAGAACCAAGTCCCTGCCCTACATTTTTTCTTTGATTAATCCATTACACTTGGATGTTTGTGATAATACAGAAGAAAAGATCTGTCACTACTTCAGTTTTATCTTGACTTTAACATTGACATCGTTCAAATAATTCTGAAGATGCAAAAAGTTTCTTTTGCTAAGCTGTGATTTGGCAGCTGTTCAATTGTGACACACTGAAAATGCCCTAAAGCACATGACAAATCATAAAGACTATTCTATTATTCTATTGGACTCTATGCACTAAGAAGTCGCTGACGTATTTCTTTAGCTTGATCCAACTTTTATAATGAGAGTAATGAACAGGGGATGTGCTGTCTTTTAAATTTGTGATGCAACCAGATAATGATAATTCACTTTACTGTATATGAGATCAGACGTTTTGATGCTTAATTTAGATGAAGTTAACTAAATGATATCCATCGCTATTGGATCTGACCTTAGTAATGGGGAATTTGTTAGTGACTCTTTTTTAATTTTGACTCTGATAAAGACAACAGCCTTCCTCATTTATCCAGAAGAGGCATGGCAGTTTGTATTTTATCTTCACAGTCAGAAGTTCTGGTAAAGCTCCTTTGATATAGTATAATTGTTGTTTGTGGGTGCTTTATGCTGTAGTGGCTTCCTAATGACATTTTTCTTTAGTTTTTCAACAGATGGTATAACTATCTCTTTCTCTGCTCCCCATTTCTTTTTAGGTACTACAAAGGTTTTTCACAGAGGTTTATGGCTTTGCTCTGTGATCAGCTCTAGACAGGAGACTCTTAATGCTGATACCCATGAGTCCCCTTCATCATCATGTGCTGCCACACTTGCTACCCTGTGAGGTAAGAACCTGATGCTTCCTCTTGCAGGCTCTTCTTTACTTTATGAGTAAATTTATTTATTTTCCCCTGCAGTTTTTGTGTTTTTATATTTTTTTTCTTTTGTAAATCATTGTTGTCGTATTTCCCAGATGCTTTTGTGAAATTAAACTGCTGGTAAATGTTTGGAACACTCTACTCTCTGTTACCAGAGGGTCACCTCCTTTTCAAAGACTGACTCAATAGCCAACTACGTTAGGAAATGCTGCTATTTTTCTTTACTTCCTCCACCTTTGGCTGTATTTTCATAGGGAGAGAAGGAGCATACGGCAACCTTGATTACCGAAGCTCAGAGATTAACCCTTAACCCTGCGCCTGAGACAGAGACAGACCAATGCAATCAGCGAGTTTCCTGTCTCATAATTATTGGTGCTTGATTGGTCTGTCAGAGACCAGATACCCTGCAGCCCACCTCTACCGTTCCACTCCGCATTAATGACCCATGACATATGAGAACCGTGTTTACATGCAGAACTCCATACCGCCACATCGAGGGGATCACCGTTGGGATTTTCTCAGGTACTTAAGGGCTTTACTTTTGATTAGACTGTAGTGCGAGTTTAGATGTCGCTCAGAGGCATGGGTCAATCAGTGCGTGATGTAGCGAGTCCTATGGACCTGGGATGTTTACATGGGGCTGGTGAGATGGCTGGCTGGAGGGAGGGGCTGTTCCACTCAATTGCAGCCACATGTTTGCAAAGGATGTGGAGCTGAACGAGGCTGTGTGATCTGCCAGACTTTAAAAGGGCCTTCGCCTGTGGGCAGCTCTAAAGTTTTCCAGTGCGTTCCTCCAGCCTCTTCGTTACTGTGGTTTCTAGGCAAACATACTACCCTGTTGCCGTACAATTTCGCATTCATAAACTGCATTCGGGCTGCCTGAGATTCCCATACAATTGCTCAGACAAATCCGTTCTTGTACTGACTTACACTAACACACAGACCACACACATATAACTAAATTACACTGAGATGGGGCATGGAATATTTCATATGTGCTGGCGTACATTTGCAAAAAGCAGAAGCAGGACAACTTTCAAACATGCACATGACGCATAACAGAAAGTGACATTGTCAACTAACTCTGGTTTTTGTTTGTATTACTTTGACCACCTGTTTTATGTGGTCTTTTCTTCTGTTTTGACCTGTTTATATATGTATCTATATATCTTTTTTGGGTAGGAGTGCCTGTAGTGCAACTGTAGCTAGACGAAGCCGAGCTGCACTTCTAGTTTTTGGATGTTGAACTGGCATGAATTCAGTTGGACTAAATGGTTTACATTTTTAAAAAGTCAAATTATTGTTTTGCTCCGACTAAAATTGGAGTTTTAAAGTGCATGTAAACACACTGATTGTTGGATCAAGGATCAAAGTGTCCAGATGTCACTCTTTGACTGAAGAACAAAGGCTTTTACTGTTCTTCCTGCTGCTGTAATTAGGTAAAAAGTTAGTGTCAAGTTGTAAAATAACAGACATTTAGTAGTTCAAATGTGTAACAAAGTTCATAGATCGGGAAGGAGGCGGGAACCGGCAAACATTTAAACATAAAACTTTAATAAACAAATGAACAAACACAAAATGAAAGTAAAAGCGGCAGCCTCTCACGGACGACTGCCGCACAAAACAACAACATAAAATCCAGGCCTGGTCCTCTCTCGTCCAACACTGTCGTCACTCCTCCTTTTATCCTTCCGGAGCTCCTCCGTGGGACTCTAGACTGGTGAGTGGCGCAGATGTCGCTCATTATCATTCACTCCACCGGCCTCGCTCCGTTCCCACGGCTCTCGGCCCCGCCCCACTCGTCACAAAATGATTGTCCTATTTATGGAAAATTAAGAGAGGTTGATTGACCTAATGGCACAATTCATCCAAAAATGGAAATTCTGTCATTTACTCATCCTCATGTTGCTCCAGACATTTATGACTGTCTGTCTTCTCTGGGCACAAAAGAATATTCTGAAGATTCCTTACATTGAAAGTCAATGAAATCAGTGTTGTTTTGGATCCCCTTGAGTTTTGTTGTATGACCAAAAACAGTTGAATCCGTTTTGCAACAGGTTTGGAATGACTTGAGTTGAGTAAATGATGACAGAATTTTCATTTTGGGTCAGTGATCAATTTAGAGGCATGGGGCTTTCTTAAAAATGTGCCTTTTTAATTCTAATACTCTGGACTTGTTTAAATGGCCTTGCCCTGATCCGTCCAAGAACCCTTGGGCTGATGTTTCCATTTATACCAAACCCCCTCTACAGGGCAATAAGATCTAAAGCTTGCCACATATGATAAAACCTCTTTATCATCCCACAGCCATGGAATTTGTGAGCAGGTAGTGGAAAATACAACACCTCTTTCCTTTCTGTCATGCCCTAATGCCTTTTAAGAGACAGCAACTCAAACCTTGGAGCTTGAAAAATCACCCCACAGTGATAAGCAAACAGATCTCCAGTGGTGTCACAGTATGTCTCTCCAATCATGTGGATAAGAAAGGGGAAAAAATTGCATCCATTTAAACACCTTGTGGCAGACATCTTATTTGTAAACTCATGCAGGAACAGACATTCTGGCAGCACAAGCTCTGCAGAGTGTGAAAATGATCTGTTTGATACAGAGGAACCTCCTGCCGCAGCCATTAAGCGTCCTGCCTAGAGAATTGGAGACATCAGAGACCCCTGCATGAAGTGCACTTTCATGCTTTGCTCATCAGGGCAACGTCCTTCAACTCAAAACAATTTGCACTTAGTGTTTTTTGGGGAAGGGGGCAATGTCACATTCAGTTGCCAGCTGGATGACATGTGTTTCTATACACAGAGGGACTAGCCACTTAGTAATATGGATTTTGTTCTCCGCATCCAAAAAGAAATTGGCTTGCACAGATCCACACTGTGGTCAGGATTTCACACTCTAGGATGTGTAGATCAGGGAACTTGAATGACTATCCCTGGGTAGAGAACACTACTTTCTGAATCAAAAGTTGTAGACAGGAAAAAATTAGATGGAGAGAATTGAATCCTGAAGAGATATCCAAAAGCTTGTGGCTGTTTCAGTTTCTTCTACCCCCAAGTATTTCGAGTTTGAAAAATATCGTAGTTTAGTCTGTTATTACTACATAAATGTTAAGATATCTTACAATAATGGTATTTCATAGGTTGTCCGTAATTATTCATGAATACACTAGAATAAAATAAATGGTCGATTTTCTGAGGGAATATTATGTCAATTTGGTGTTTATTTAATAACAGCTCTGTGTTATGTCAGCCATTTTGGCTTTTAAAAATAAAATACAAATATTGCAATACCAAAAGAAAAGTGTACATAACAAAAACAGTTGATCAATAGTTGACCGATACACTACTGTTTAGGAATGCTCCGATCCGCCTTTTTCGCCTCCGATACCTAGGGTTCGGTATTGGCCGATACCGATCCGATACCAGTGAAGTTTTTTTCCCCCACTTAAATAAATGTAGAATTTATATATCTCTGTGTGTGGAACTGATAATCATTCTTTCACAATCTACTAGATACAGACTACTTCATTATAAAGAAAAATAAAATAAACAATAAATATGAAAAAATATAGGCCTATGTATATTTATAATCTATGACAAAAAATTATCATAAAGTAGGTTAGTGGATAATTCGGCAGCAAAAGTTATTCTAGAAAAATCAGTGCACAATTTTAGAAATCCAAACATTTAGTGAAAAAACAATATTTTGTGGGGAACAAATAAAAGTGTTGCACTAAATATGGTAAAATGTTACACATTGCTATTTGTATTATTATAAAATCCATTCATTATAAACATTCATGAATGTATTTATATATAAGTATATACTATAAAATTAAACTACATTTCTTTTAAATGTATAGCATATTTTTTAATAAGGCTCTCTCTCTCTCTCTCTCTCTCTGTCTCTCTCTTTCTCTCTCTCTCTATCTCTCTCTCTCATGCTTACCAAGGCTGCATTTTTTAGATAAAAAATCCTTTAAAAAAAAAAAAAAACTATATTTGATATGTTAAATATTGTTACAATTTAAAATAACTGTTTTCTGTTTGGATACATTGTAAAATGTATTTCTTATCACATTTATTTTCTTCTTATCACAAAACCGTTAAGCTTGATGCTGCTTAATATTTTTGGGGAAACCATAATATTAAGTAAAAGAACAGCATTTTGTTTGAATTTTAAATCTTTTGTAACATTATAAATGTCTTTACTGTCACTTTTGATCAATTTTATCTTTTGATCAATTTTATGTGTCCTCTGTGAATAAAAGTATGAATTCTTAAAGGGGTCATATGATGCGATTTCAATTTTTCCTTTCTCTTTGGAGTGTTACAAGCTCTTGGTGCATAAAGAAGATCTGCGGATCCGCCGGGCGCACCGTTCTCGACCCCGCCGCCTCAGCTCACTCTAGCCTGGCCTCAGCTCACGCTAAGACGGGGCTTCCGCTCACGCTAGCCCGACCTCAGCTCACTCTAGCCTGGCCTCAGCTCACTCTATCCCGGCCTCAGCGTACGCTAAGCCGGGGCTTCCCCTCACGCTAGGCCGCTGTGTTTTTCGTTGCCACTGATGATTCAAACGTGATTGTAAAAATCGACGCGTTTCAAAAAGGCGGGGCATAGAGGAGAAACAATAATGTACAGTATGTGGAAAATAATGTGTTTTTTTAACTTTAAACCGCATAAACACATTTCATTACACCAAATGTTAAATAATGTTCTTTTTAGCAGCATCATATGACCCCTTTAAAAAATCTTACTGACCACCATACCTTTGTATGGTAGTCTAACATATAATGCGAGACAGTGCACATTTCTGTCCAATTTCCAGCAGAGCTGATCTGTGATTGTTGAACTGAGCATGGACCTTCTGTTGTGTTGTCCAGAATTGAACCTCCCAACCATATGTCTCAGTGACGTGAAACCCTCTCTGGAGAGCGAGGCTACATTTGGTCGTGGAATGTGCTGGAGTGTGTGCATCTGCTTAAACAAAGCTTTATTTTCAGCTCAATGTTGTAATTACAGACTAGAATGAATCTAGCCGTCTTGTGAACCCACAGCAGCCTCTGCACAAGTTTCCCAGGATCTGCTCAGGGCTTGTAAGTCCAAGCAGAGTGTTTACAGCAGTAAATCTTAGCCACCATTATCTCTCAGACATATTTACTTACTTTTAGAAAAGTGTGTGTCTTCTGTGTGAGGAAATCTTATGTTTGTGAAACTAGATTGTGTTGTAATGGGCTGCTAGTATTAGCAGGGTCCTCGCGGGTGTTGAAGTAAGACTAGATAGAGGGACTCGGTCATTCTTAGCGCAGCTTGTCGTCTGCTACTCCTCTAGACATTTGGATCGATGGGAATTGGACTTGCTGTCTTTTTCCATATAAAGAGAAAAAGTGGTTTGTGATCCAGTTGCATTTGTCTACTGAAAAAGAAAACCCAGTGAATCAATGCATTCACTATTTCAGTAAGTAGCAGCAGGGTTATTGTATTTTAAAACTAAGATGAAAAAACTGAAATAAAAAT